TAATAATAACACACTTTGGGATCATCCAGAACTGGGCTTACATTTTGATTAGTGAATCCCATCGACTACTGCCATACATGAGACATTCAGTGTATGATTTTTAGCAAATGAATGGATATGGAATTTAATACTTCAGATGTGTAGGGACACTGACATCTTATTAGCTTATCTATTGTTACAAGGTTGATAAACCTGATATAACATCACTAAAAAATATTGTTCTTTTCTCCAGATATGTCCCAAAACATCCTAGTGGCAAGAAGCTGTGCTGCAAACTCAAATTACACAGGCTTCGAGGCCACCAGATACTCTGAGGGAGAAAGAGAGGCAATCTCCTCTTGTGCAATTACTGCCCCTGAAAACCCACTGGAGGATCAGCTATGGGTCAGCTCTGACTCTATGATACACAACAACAACAACAACAACAACAACAGAAGATCCCATGAACAGGAAACAGGAATCATGTCATATCTGCTCTATCCTCAACAATATCTAACACGTTCCAGCACATTGTTACATTCACTGTGTCAATCTATCTCCTTGAGAGTTGTACTGGAGGGTAGTAACTATATTTAGTATTCCCAGTAGAAAAGCATATAAACTGGAATATAATGAAGGATTTAAGAAATCTTTGTTGAATGCACACCCAGGTTTATCGCAGCTTTGCTCACAATAGCAAGGAGTTGCAAACAACCTAAGTGCCCATCAACAAACAAATGGATAGATAAGCTGTGGTATATTTGCACAACGGAATACTACACTGCATTGAAAAACAAAAATGGGTGACCCTGGAGGACATTATGCTGAGTGAAATATCTCAGTCAAAAAAGGACAAATACTGCATGGTGCCACTGTTGTAAAACAGGACTGACCTTGGGGTTGGGGGGAGACTGAGAAAGATGGGTTCAATAATGTATACTGCATTGAAACAGATGAGGGAGAAAACTGTTTAAAAGGAATATGTGATCAGGTATTTTTGTCATAAGAGGAGTTGAGCACGAAGGCTGCATAGTGGAGTGGACCTGGGGGGAAGGATTGTGAAACAATGAAAGAATTTTTCTTTTCTTTTTCCAAGAGGGTAGTGTACAAGGAGGGGGGTTGGGGAGGGGAGAAAAGTGCAACAAAGAAAGAATGGAAATCCAAAGTCTCTGTACATTTTCATTGACATTAATAGTAAATTTAAAAAACATCTTTGTTGAATCTACAACCAGGAGGGGATAAAATAGATGAATGGGACCTTCTAAGAATCAAATCCCTATGCACATCCAAAAACTTCTCCAACAGGGTAAAAAGGGAAGCCACAGATTGTGCAAAAATATCTGGTAATGACATGTCAGACAAGGGGCTAGGGGCTTGTATCTAGAATTTATAAAATACTTGAGCACCACAACAAGATAAAGGTAAATAATCCAACTGAAAAATGAGCACAGGATATGAACAGACACTTCACCAGAGAAGACATTCAGATGGCAAACAAACACATGAAGAAATATTCAAAATCCCTAGCTCTAAGAGAGATGAAAATCAAAACAGCTATGAGATATCATCTCACCCCAGTCAGAATATAGCAAAATGTAACAGAACAGAAAACATCAAATGCTGGTGAGGTTGTGGAGAAACTGGAACCCTTATTTGCTGTTGGTGGGAGTGTAAAATGGTGCAACCACTATGGAAGGCTGTATGGTGCTTTCTCAAAACGTTGCAAATAGAAATATCCTATGACCCAAGAATTCCACTACTGGGAATTTCCCCTAAAGAAACCATGTGGCTTTGTTTGCAATAGCAAAGAGCTGGAAACAACCCAAGTGCTCATCAACAAATGGATAGAGAAGCTGTGGTATATTTACACAATGGAATACTATGCTGCATTGAAAAACAAGGAACTCATGACATATTGTTCAAAATGCATGACCCTGGAGGACATTATGCTGAGTGAAATATGTCAGTCACAAAAGGACAAATATTGCATAGGGCCACTGTTATAAAATGGGACTGATATTGGGGTTGAGGGAAGACAGAGAAGGAGGGGAGGAATGATGTATACTGCATTGAAACAGATGAGGGAGGGATATATGACAGGGTATTATTGTCAATACAGGAGTTCAGAATGAAGGCTGCTCAGTGGAGTGGACTTGGGAAGGATTGCATAACGATGGAAGAGTGTTACTTTGTAAGGAAAAGAGTGTGGGGGGAGGTTACAGAGATCTTAAGTCTCTGTAAACTTTCATTAAAATTGATAAAAAAAACTTTGAATTTATAACATAGTCTGGATAACTCAAATGTCTAAATCTTTTTCCTTAGACATATCTGACAAATTTTCAGTTTCTTTTATGCCATTTTTTCATTATCTTTTGCATACATCTTCTTTCTCATAACAAGAGCACTAAGAGAAATACTTATTCTCAGAAGAAATATATACATATTTATTATCTCTATATATCAGAAAGTTTTGGATGATCTTCAGCAGAATCTTGCTTGCATGTGAAATCAATGACACTGTTCTGTAGTTTCCACACTCAGTTGGGTCATCTTTCTTTGGAACAGGAACAAATATAGATCTCTTCCAGTCAGTTGGCCAAGTGGTTGTTCTCCAGATTTCTTGGCACAACTTGGTGAGCACATCCAGGGCAACATCTGTTAT